GTTCGAGGAAGAGAATCGAGGTGGCGGAACAGGTGCATGCAAAATAAAAAGCAGGACTACCATCAAGCACATCAAATGGGGGCCGGGGCTATCAATCAGTCCAAGGTCATTCCCCGATCAACATACCCATGGGCATCAGCAGCAACGGTAGCAGTAGCAGTAGCAGCGGTAGCGGTAGCAGTAGCAGTAGCAGTAGCAGCCAGGTGAAGCGACAGGGCTATAGAATGTGCGTCCGCAGCTCTGCCACTGAAAAAAAGGGATCAACCCCCCGTGAGCCAACGAACGCAGCAAGCAAGCACGCTTCTCCGCCCCACACACACGCACACACACACACACACACACACACATGTATAAACGGAAGGCTGAGGGGGTTCATCAAGCCATGAAGCCAGTGGTACGTACCAAGCAACGGCTGCGCGCGCACACGGCCCCGTCGAGACGATGAAGAGGACGACGACGTGAGCTGCCGTAAAATACGAGAGAGCGAGAGAGAGAGAGAGATGTGGTGTGCGTTCTCATGCAGAGACACTATCAATCTGACAGTTTTGGCCAACGGAAAGTATAACGTATATCCAGAGATGGGGTGGTGGTGTGGACGTTTGGCCAGAGAGGTGTGCGTGGTTGTTGTTTTTTCTGTTGATGATTTGCTGGGCCAACTCACCGTCTTTTTGTCAGACAAAATGAGACGAAGGGAAGAGGGAGAGGGAGAGGGTAAAAGTGAGATATGTTTAGAGATATGAACAGGCAGGGGATGTGAGTACACGGGAAAACAAAGGCAAGAACAGGGAGAGAGAGGCGAAAAGGGATGTATCCAGAGAGAGATACATCTGCCACAGACTTCACCAATTCAACCCTCTCTCCCTCAAAATCTCTCTCTCTGTGGTAGTTGTGCTTTTCCTTTGTGTCTTTGCTCTTTATTTCTCTCTTTCTCAAACCGACCAAACCAATTCATCTCTCTCTCTCTCTCTCTTCTCTCTCTCTCTCTAAATCTGTCTCTCTCTCTAAATCTCTCTCTCTCTCTCTTCTCTCTCTCTCTCTCTCTAAATCTCCAAATCTCTCTCTCTCTCTCTCTCTCTAAAACTCTCTCTCTCTCCCTCTCTTTCTACCATGTCAAGCTCCAGGACGTCTGGAGGCCGGGTTTAGGTTGCGAGGAAGCGCGCGAAGATTTGAGGAAGCGGTTTGAGAGAGGTTTGAGGGACGTCCGTCGGGACGGAGCGAAAGATTTGATGGTCAATTGAACCAGCTGTAGTCGGCAAGCATTCACAGTGGGCAGACCGTTAGAATAGCTGTAGAGAGCCTGAGGAGAGGGAGTGTCACAGGAGGGCAGAGCACACCGGGGAGCACAGGGAAGACAGAATGGCAGGAGGCTTGACGTTCCTGCGGTCGGCAAGCATCCACAGTAAGCAGACCAGGTGTCAATCTCCCTCTCTCTAAGTCTCTCTCTAAATCTCTCTAAATCTCTCTCTCTCTCTCTCTCTCTCTCTCTCTCTCTCTCAATCTCTCTCTCTCTCTCTCTCTAAATCTCTAAATCTCTCTCTCTAAATCTCTAAATCTCTCTCTAAATCTCTAATTGCTCTTTATTTCTCTCTTCTCAAACCAATTCAAATCTCTAAATCTCTCTCTCTCTCAATCTCTAAATCTCTCTCTCTAAATCTCTCTCTCTCTCTAAATCTCTCTCTCTAAATCTCTAAATCTCTCTCTTACTTAGGGGAGAGATGGGCAGAGCGCAGTAGAAGAGGTGAATTTATGTGCCTGCGTG